TGTCCAACAAACAAATTCCAGGTGTTTCCCTCTTCCTTCCCTCAAGCAACAAAAAAACCCCTACTCTGTAGTTGCCAGGGAAAATGACATTGTTTACAAATATTTTTACTTTGTAAGAGCATTTATAGCTTAGTTGGGTGTTTTATTCCTCTTGTTGAAACATGTCTTAACATCAACTTTCTATTATCATTTCCTCATTAAAACTTTTGTAGGAAAAATAAATAATTACATTCCTACACAGCCTCTGGTTTTATAAGCAGAAGAATTGGCTAAGTTAACTATTAATTCCTCTCTAAAACTTGCTGTACACCATGAAACAAATGCTAACATTTTGACAGTTCTACATCTCTACTGTTAAATTTCTAAAGGCTAATGTAATACTAAAAAATTCTTAAAAGATACAACATGAAATAAGAACTCATCAAGTTACTGTATTCTCAAAGCCAAGTTAAGAGTTGCATTTTACCTTGACTAACATATCAAGGTATATATTTTATCATTAACTTAACATCAGTCTTTATATTTCATAATCTGTAGCGATGAAGAGATAATATTAACATTAATGTTAAATATTATTATTAATATTAATTAGCATAACATTAATAATAAACATAGTAATCAGCATTAATAATGAACATTCATTATTTTTACATATAAAGTTCAGATATGGTGACTTGAAGACATGGAATTGTATTTCTAGGTCAGCCACAAGTCTTATTTTGAATCTAACTACCAAATCGCAGAATGGTTTGGGTTAGGAGGGACCTTTAAGAGTAGAGTTAGTGTAGTTTCAGACAACATGATTTCAAAAGCTATTTGTTTGATATCTCTAAAGTAAAGGGGTACTAAGTTATTTACTTTTTATTTATTGCTTTTTAAAAAATTATTATCGAAATCCCTAACCACAAAGTCTTCAGAAGTGCTTTCTAACATGTTTAACAGAAGGCAAATATGTCTAGTAACAGAGATATATATAGAACTCCAAATCCCAAAGATGAGGAGATCATCTTGCCTTTTCCTTTGCAAGACAGATGAATATGAATTAATCTAACTGATGAAACAGGCCTAGGAAAAACAGGTGAATCAAGCTCTGTAGCTATGTATTTTTGGTACAACAAAAATGGAAACCTCTTCAGATAAAACAAGTTTGTGATATGCAGTATCTGCTGTTGTCAGTTAATTTGAACACAAACTGCTCAATAAATTAAATATTTGACATCTTTGAAGATTAAGACCACCAAAAGTGTGAAGTTTTTAAAATCAACTATGGAAGTAATTGACTAAGTACCTGAATAATTATAGTATTATACTGCAATATATATAATAACTCAAGTGCCTGTGTAAACCATGAAAACACTTTGCGAGTTCAACAGAGCATCAAAATACATTTTCATGAAAAGTTATTAGTTATTTTAGAATCAAAAGCATAGGCAAATTCAGGTCAAAATGTCACACACCTACACAATTATTATACCCCTTAACTCCCACTTTCCAAAAACTGTAAGCCCATAAACCCCAAGAATTTACTAAAACACGGGTTCATTCCAAAAACTGTTGTAGAAGGATGCTCACTGAACACTGCTTTTCAGTGTTTAAGCTCATGAGACACTTAACTCAAGTTAACAGTCACACTGTCTTTGGGCCTACTCAGCACCCCTATGGAATTCACCAGGATTTGACCACTGCACACCCCACAGTGTGACCACCTCTCCAACACAGCCTTCACAGTGTTATTAGATCTTTTGGGGACTGTAGAACTCCTAGTACCAAATATTTTGAGAAAATGCACTACATGATGCTGTGACACATGGTCTACACTTAACTCAGGCTTGAACCTCCTCATGTCTCATCAAAAAAAAAGACAGTTTATCTATGATTTCCCTGTCTAGTACTAAATGAAGTCCATGGAAGCACCAAAGAAACAAATTTAGTTAGTGACAGTTGTAACTTAAATTCATTTTCTTACTCTGTTTTTTACTACAGTTGCATAGGAGAAAACAGGAAAAATAAACACATCTCTCTCCTGCACTAAAGCTTTATGAATTTCCTTCCTGCAGCATGTAAATTGAAGTTACAAGGCCCTCAGCGTGCTTTTTCCGCCTGCTCTGCTCTGTTGTCAGCACTCTTCTCCCACACCTTCCTGAAACGGTAACACATCTTCCTTTGTATCAGGCCCCACCCCCACCTTCTTTTCTTAGAGTTCTCATACTTCTTCACATATAAATTTAGAATCTTTCTAGCATAAAGAACACGGCTTATTACATTTACAAAACCCAAAATGGCTACAAAGCTGATTTAAAGGTTATTCCATGTCTTGCCTGTTAGTCTACAAAGGGTACAAACTGATGGGGAAGAAAAATAAGAACAGAGGAAAAATGAAGCAAAGTTAGAGGATAAAACCATCCTAAGAGAAGCCAAGAGAATTGCTGAGACTTTTCATCATACAGCCAAAAAAAAAAAAGTTTCCTGAACTTAAATGAACCCCAGCATTTTAAACCTACACATCCAGAATATCAGATGCTCAAGTGCCTGTGTATTAGCTATTCATGTATTTCCACTCAGATACACACAGTTAGCTATCACCTTTGCTTAGGAAAAGTCAAAGCAGTTATAAGGAACATCAATGCACTACTTCAATCTACTTTTACTTAAAGGTAAAAAAATGATTTAATTTTTTTAAAGTTTTATTAGAAAGAATTTTTGTACGTAGTCTGATTAGAAAAATATGATTTTACTTTCTAAGTGTAACACCTCTGAAGCCTGTCAAATTTCCCTCTTTAACTGAGACTTGCAGGGAAGGGAATGGGGAGCTCATTTCAGAAGGTATTTAAATACAGATCAATTACACCTACACCAAAGCAATTCTTCCTTAAAAGCATATCCCTACAGATTTTAATGGATTTAATATGTAAGTAGTACTTTGGGCCAAGAATGACGATTGTAGTGTGAATCATCACATTAAGAACTGGTGTAAAATATTTAAGCTGTTTAGAAAATGTTAGGATACTTAAATTCTTTTATAGAAAGACCCCCAGAACGAGTGAAACAAAGTATAAGTCCAGCCAGCAGAAAGACTGATGTATTGACCAAACACATACAAAGTTAGCTTACCAAGTGATTCCCTCAGAAACAGCATTTTCTTTTTTAATTGGTAATAGTTTAAAAGAAATTTCCTAAAAAATTGTCACTTCAAAGGACCTTAAATCTGTAATGAAAACACATGTTCTAAAACTTTCAGCAAGCATGACAGGAAGCATCCCAGCAAGTTCATTCCCAAACTGACTACAGCTTAGCTCCTAATCACAATTAAGATAACTGAAATGGGGCAAATCCTTAAACTGATTATAAGATTAAGGAATACGGTTAAAGATACTACCAACTGCATGTCTGATACCTGCCAATTCCTTCCTACCACTGGAGGAAGGTCCCCATAGAACAGCCAGCACTCAAGCACATACAGCAAACTGAGCCACGGCTAATGTAAACTCTGGACTCTGTATCTATAGCTGACTCTATACTCTTGACACCTATCAATAGATCCTGGCTGTAAAAATGTCTGATTAGTCTCGAGGTACCAAAATTGACACACTATATCCTCATTAGCTGTGGTTCTAAGATGACAGGTAGGTAAAGCAGATAAAAGAACCAAGTTCAATAGAAGATGCAGTGCTATTTTCCTTTGGGACAGCAGCATCCACAAGGCTCTGCTTTTATCTAGGGATATAGGTTTGACCTGCGAACACTTCAGAAGCTTAGAAACCTGTAATAAGCTAAAGAGAGTAAGCAGTATTGTGAACTTCTACAGATTCTTGCATTACTCTTTTAATCTCTCCATTGCCTTATGCTAAAGCAAGCATTCTGCCAAGAACCATGCAGCAAAAAATGAAGAATGACTATTAAGAGCTATCTCCACCCCCACACCTCCCTTCCCTTCCAACCCCAAATGTCAGAGTTCATACGAGGAGCAAATTCAATTTATTTGTTCCTCTCTCTGACAACAGAAAGCCAGGGGAAAAAAATACACTAAAGAACTTCCATTACTTGCTCCAAAGAAAATAAGCCCTCTACTTCAGTGTGAAAGCACAAATTACACTTTGGTACTATTTAAGGACATCTCTAGGCATATCTAAGGACCCACATGTATTCCAAACAAATTAGTTGGATTTGGCATGCAGTTTACTGAGGTACTAAGTGAACTAAAGGAGAACTGAAAGATCATCCAATTCTGTCAATCAGCTACCAAATGACGTTGGTTGGTTTTATATCAGGAAGTGTTATGGTTTGTTTCCCTGTGATGTAGTTATAACACTTACAGCACTGGTGAGATCCAGCAATTAGGTACGATCAATTAGGGAAACAACAAGCGAGCAGCCCTCTACCCCAGGCCTAGCACAACCAACAGTTTAAAACGCATTTTAACCTCTGCCCCCACCCGTAAGGGGTTATTAATCGTGTTGTACTCAACTGTCTGCGCTGCAGTGCTTAACCACAGCATAAGAGGACCTCAGTCTTTCAAAAAGTGGTTGGAGAGTGAACTGGTATCAAAGCTATTTGAAGTCCTGCGCTCGCACAGAGGAGCGGCACTCACGAATTCCGCCTTTGTGGAAAGGCTCCGCCGCCCCAGTGACAGCCGGCGAGGCGCAGAGCAGTGCGCGGAGCCAGAGATGACAAGTGCGAGCGAGGCAGGGCTGGGCAGGCGCCTCCTCGGCATGAGCTGCTCTCCCGGCACACGGGCACATTCACGCACCCTGAGCCCAACGCTGAGTAAACAAAACACCAGTGCAGAGCTGAGCAGGGCGGTGACTCAGCCAGGAGTGCGAGATTCGGTCCCACAGGGTAAGGAATTCGGGGAGACGTGACCGGGGACCCATCGGCGCTCCCTACTTACCAGCAAACAGTCCACGTTCACTTCGGATTTGGGGTCCTTCAAAGTCACATCGATTTTCTCAAACCGAGACTCAAAACTTTCTCCCGTCGACATGTTTCCGGAGATAAAAAGCTTCCCTTATTCCAGAGCAAAGTAAGGTTAAAAAAAATGAAAAAGTAAAAAAAAAAAAAAAGACAGGAACAGGCGAGCACAAAAGAGAAACCACAGCCTGTACCAGGCTGAGGAAGCGCCTCCTGCGAGATCCCTTCAATCACAGAAGTCTCTGGGGCAAGTCGCCGTCAAAGGGGCAGAGAATCCAAGGGGAACCCGCAGCAGGCGGGGGACGAGGCTGCTTCTCCCCCCGCTCCTCCAAGCACGCACGCAGCTTCCCGGGATGCTCACAGCTCCGCAGCAGCAGGTTTCCTCTCCCTCCCTCCTCTGCTCGGGCCCCACCGTCTCAGCATTCCCATTTTCCCAGCCGGGGAAGCCGTCCTGGGATCCAGCGTAGCGGTCCCTCCTCCTCGCCCTGCTGCTGCAGCGCCGGCGGGTCGGTGCCAGGTTCCGGAGCGCGGCTTTCTTTCCGGTGAACCAGAAGAAACAACAGAAGAGGGGGAAACAAGAAGAAAAAAAAAAAAAAAAAAAAAAAAAAAAAAAAAAAAGGCAAAAAAGACAAAAGCCTGCAGGCACACCAACAAGGCAAAAATGGATGGAAAAATAAAACTTAGAGGAATCCTCTCGACGGCGTGTCTCAGTGTCGTGGGGTCGGTCCGTCCGTGGGCACGGGGCGAGGGAGCGAAGACGGCACCGGGCGAGTGCTCCCGCGGGCGGCGGACGAGTCACCTCACCGGCGGAACGGCTGCAGCAGCATCTTTCTTCCTCTCTCCTCCTCGCTGCCTCCCGCCGCTGCCAACGCCGGTTCAGCCCCCTCCTCTCCGCTCCTCCGCCTCCCACGGACGGGACGGCAACCTGGACCGCCTCAGGACCGACCCGAGGTTGCGGCGTGTGAGGGGAGGAGGGAAGGAGGCGGCTTAAGGGGAGGGGAGAGCGTGAGGTCCGGCGGCTGCAAGGGAACCTGCGAGAGCCACCAACATGTCCGCCTTCCTGTTTGAACAGTCGGGACGGGGCGCGGGGCGCATGCGCGGGGGGAACGGCTCCGGTGCGGGCGGGGACGGGACGGGACGGCGGCAGGAGGTGCGCGCGCGGAGACGGAGGCGCGCGCATGAGGCGGCCGGAGGGGGTGCGCGCCGGGGAAGGAATCACAGCCACTGAATCAATTAGGTTGGAAAAGACCTATGAGACCATTCAGGCCAACCTGTGACCGAACACCACCGTGTCAACTAGACCAGGGCACTGAGAGCCACGTCCAGTCTTTCCTTAAATACCTCCAGGGACCGTGACTTCACCACATCTCCCTGGGCAGTCTATTCCAGTGTCCAATCACCCTTTCTCTGAAAAAGCTCTTCCTCATGTCCAGTCTAAACCTCCCCTGGCGCAGCTTAAGGCCATGTCCTCTGGTCCTCTCGCTTGTAGCCTGGGAGCAGAGGCCGACCCACAGCTGGTTACAGCCTCCCCTCAGGTGGTTCTAGAGCGATAAGGCCACTCCTGAGCCGCCTTTTCTCCAGGCTAAACAACCCCAGCCCCTTCTCATGCCGCTCCCCATGGCACATGCGCTCCAGACCCTTCCCCAGCCTCGTTGCCCTGCCGAAGGAAAAACCGGTAGAGGCAGAAGCCAGCGCATTCGGCGCGGCCCCGGCCCCGGTGCGGGCGGGCCGGGTGTGACAGCCCAGGATCCGCCTTCCGGGAGCCGCTGTCTTTGTGTGCCCGCCCCCGCCCGGCGGTTCCGGCGGGAATTGCGCGGAGCCGAGAGGCAGCGTCCTGCCGAGAAAAGCCCCCCTTCCCGCCGCCTCCCCGTGCCGTTGGGGGATGTTGCCGCCGTGTTTCCGCCCCGGCTCCCCGGAGGCGCCTCAGCGTTGGTGGCTCCCGCCGCCCTGGCGGGGCACGGGTACGGGGGGATAGGTGGCAGCGAGGGTCTCTCCTAGACCTGCTGTTGGCTCCATCCTTGCGGATCTTCAAAAGCCGGCTGGGCAGCCGGCTGTGGGTGGTCCTTAGGCGATCCTTCACAGGAGATACTCCAGAACCATATGGGCGCAATCCTGTGCCATGTGCTTTGGGATGACCCTGCTTGAGCGAGGCGATTGGACCAGATTACCTACTGTATTTTCTTTCCAACCTGACCCATTCTGTGATTCCGTGGTTTTGTCCTGCCTGATCAGGGGACTGGAGAAGTTGGCCTCCAGAGATCCATTTCAGTGACAGCCAGTCTCCAGGGAAGGAGAGGCCTGTTTCTGCAGCGCCAGAAGTTCAAGCATTCCAATTTATGTCCAGACAAGAGCCGTGTGCAAGGTAGCACACCAAACACAGAAACAATAGATACCAGCACTACACATGTAACCTGTGCAGCCTGTTGGTGTTTCCAACTCAAACCTTACCCTCAGAGCACAGCAGGGACCTTTTCTTCAAATAAGGAAACAATCACAGAATCCCTTAGGTTGGAAAAGACCTCTGAGATCATCCAGGCCAACCTCTGACCGAACACCACCACGTCAATTAGAACATGCAATTAGTAATTGCAGTCTTTTCTAGAACATCTCCAGGAACAGTGATTCCACCTTCTCCCTGGGCAGTCCAATGTTTGACAACCCTTTCTATGAAGAAATTCCTCCTAATGTCCAGCCTGACCCTACTGTGGCTCAGCTTGAGACTCGGGCAAAGTAATAACTTCAAATATTACTGGACAGAGGCCACTGTACCGGTTTGGTTCTTCAACATCCACTTCAGTTCCATAAATGGCAATGGCATTTTTACAAATATTGCTATAAACTGCGTAGAGATTGTCAAATCATTAATCTCTGGTCACTGAACAGTTGCCAGCAACAAACCTGAATCAGTAGCACTGTGAGTTATTTTCCATGTCATGGTTAGGAAACAAATTCATAGCCAAGTATTAGAGCATTTGAGCTATTCAGTCTTCAGTATGTCAGTACTTGCTATCTTGCATTCAGAAAAAATAAGAAATGGCATTCTACATTTTG